CATGGTCGTGGTTGTTATAATAATGGTCGTGGTTGTTATGATCATAGTCGTGGTTATTATAAACATGGCAGTGTTTGTTATAATCATAGTCGTCGTTGTTATAATCATAGTCGTGGTTGTTATAATCATGGTCGTGTTTGTTATAATCATAGTCGTGGTTGATATAATCATGGTCGTGGTTATGATCATGGTCGTGGTTGTTATAATCATGGTCGTGGTTATGATCATGGTCGTGGTTGTTATAATCATGGTCGTGGTCGTGATACTTACAGTATCTAATATACTATAGGAAGATATAGAATAAAGGTTAGAATAATTAGTTAAAGAAATATTCGCCATAAGGAGAGGAATAGGTACACACTGTAGCCTCGTAAGGTCCGAAAATGCTCTGGTAAAGTTGAAACTGCGCATCCAGACCATGATGAAACTCAGATCCCCCCGACCTGTTATCTCTAACTATTGTCTGTTTCCCCTTCTTTCTTCTATTTACTCATCTTCCTTCCTTTACTAATCCAAACAACATTAAAAAAAAGTAGGCTAAGAGAAAAAGTGGGGAGAGGAGGAGGGAGCCGTACGATAACTGCAATCGTCCTACCTGCTGACAGCGTACAGCGACATCTGTTGCCAGCGTAAATAAAATCGTTAATGAATGCATTCCTAAAGAAACCATTGACATGGGACCAGGTTTGTTCCACTCTACGAATTTTTTGCGATTTTTCCACCAAGTTTGATGAAAAACGATTGTGCCGTTTCGGCTGCCCAGAGCAGATACACACACGCCTAGCGCTATAGTATATTACATTAAATCAAGTGAATGTTATGCTTTTACTGATGATTCTGTGCAGACAAACACAGGTGGTGTCATGGTCACATTGATGGCTAGTCTGTTTTAACTCTGTTGATTCTTACTATACTCCACGAACGCAAAACAAAGAGTGGGTAGCTGGCTAGGTATCCCCTAGAAGAAAAGCGTTTTTCCCGATCGACGTTTACACTCATGATGCCTCTCTAAGCCCCGCCTTGTGAAGACAGTTGTCAATACATTTTTATTCCACATTCTCCTGGCAAGCTCAATCTTGAATTAGTTTGTGTAAATCAACTTTAGTAATTCGCCAGACCTTTGTCAACTGAGGGTCATCCTTGGATGAGTAACAGTTTGTTTGTTTGTAATTTCTGTCATTGCGTGAGTAGCGATCGCTGGTAACTCAGGGGTATATAACCACGGGCGAGAAGGAGAGCCGTCCTCCATGACGTCCTCTCCAGTTGTTCTACAGGTATGTAGCAGTGTTCCCCAGCCATTCACTTTGATTCAGTCAATTATGTGAATTATCGGTGTTCATGCTGCAACAGTGGAATAGTCATTCACCCAGTGTAAGAAGTAATATAAAGTAAATGTTGTCTGACGTTGCGAGACGAAGGATTTGTTGTGATTGAGTTGTCCATGTTCCTCCATGACGTCCTCTCCCGTTGTTCTACAGATTCCAGGGTGTCCTTCTTTAAACACCCATCGGTTGTCTGGAGCCGGTGGATAACCAGCAGGGAGCAATATATGGTCGATGGCGCTGATTCGACATGATTAACTTACTCCAAGACCGCCTCGTGGGGCTGGATCCCAGACTGTCAACACGTGTCGGAGTATAACCGACCACAACAGCAGTCCTCAGTTGTTAGAGGTGCCAGTTCTATACCCTGGGACATGCCTTGGAGTTATATGGTCCACAGAGTCTGTTGTATATGTTTGGGGATAATTAATTGGAAATAATTATCCCATGTTGGGTAGTGGACCCATGTATGAGTTGGTTTCAGTCATAACATGTTGTGTGTTGTGAGTGCATCTCATATGTACTTCCAACAGTTAGTAAGGGAACCATATGTAAGTTGGTCATGTATGCAATGAAATGTATCACCAGTAATGTGGATGAAGTAAAGTTGTCCACTTGGGGCTGAGAGAAGCCAAGGAATTGTGTAATGTAATGTAACACAAGTAAGGTTGTGTGTAGTAAGAGTACAGGATCTGAGTAATTGCAGTTGAGTAAAGGCGAGGAGTTGCACCTTGGAGTTGTATGTTAATAATATTTTTTTCCCTACTTTGATTTCATATTAATAAACCATTTCTTAGAGTACATTAAGGGTATTCATTCTCCTGCAGTATTTTATCTTTATTTCCGTCCAAGTGACTTGATATCAGAATTACAATACCCACGTGCCCTGACCCTCGCCATGCTACCAAAAAGAACTGAGGTTAAGAAGTAACCATTGTACTGAAGTAAGTAGAAAGAACAATTGAAGGAAATAAGACAAGAGAAGTATGAGTAAGACACAAGGGTGGCAGTGTGAAAAGTAAGAATCCTCTCCCCTGTGGAATTGTAATATATAAAGAAAAAGAGATGATAGTGTCAAACAAGCAAAGGCTGAACAACTGGGCCAGCACAACACAAACTGAACTAACTGGAATCTACATAGTTACAGACTGCCTTAAAGAAAATGGAGGTGGGGTGATATTCTGTGACTCTCAAAGTGCTTTGAAATCAATGAACAGCCCGTCAGGTTCTATGTCTAAAATTGTATGTGATATTAAAAGAAATGTGATAACTGCCAATGAGAACAACTCTCGTATCGAATTTGTGTGGATTCCTTACTATGTTGGAATTAGGTATCATGACTGTGCTGATAGACTCGCCAATGAGGTATGAAAGAAAGAAAATGTTGACCGTGACCTTGGTCTGTCCAATGCTGTACTTAAAAATATTCAAGTCAGTACCATGAACTCTGATCTAGAAGAACTGAGAAATGCGGAGAGACCTGGTAGTTGTAGCATTAGTAAATATGAAAACACTTTCTGACAAGAGGTACCGGTATGGCCAGCATAAGGACAGAACTAGACAATGTGATATAGTTGTGGCCAGAATTAGGCTATATACAGACACATCTGGCAAGTTAGTAACGCTGTATTCGGTACTCGGAAAAAATGGCACCGGAAAAAATGGCATAGGAAAAAATGGCACAATTTTCATACTAGGAAAAAGTGGCACAACAAATTTCACTTCGAGCTTACAAACCACAAACGAGCTAACGAGCCTATGTTTGAAGCTATCCAGTGTATTAGAGTTAATGATGATGTTTGGGAACTTGTTATATCACCTTTGTTTAGCCGACTTCCATTTATACACCTCGATCATATCGCCGCTCACTCTACGTCTCTCGAGGGAGTGCAGATTAAGATGCTTTAACATGTCTCTGTATTCAAGGTTCCTAATGCCTAGGATTAGTCTTGTCATCCTCCTCTGAATTCTTCCCAGGGATTCTATATTCATTCGCTAGTTGGGTGACCAGAACTGAACTGCGTAATCCAAGTGAGGTCTCACAAGCTTAAGACATAGTTTTAGGATGACCTCGCTCGTCTTGTAACTAACACTCATTCCTTTCAAAGCTTTCTTTACTTCCTCTACTACCAGGTTGGTTGGGCACAGCCACCTAACTATCTGGCGTTCCATCCAGTGGATCCAAGCTCACCATGCTGTTGTATCATCTCACATTATAATGTGAGATGATACATTATCAAAGAATCTCGTGGTGAGCCACCCAGGAAGCGCCAAAAACTTGTTTACAAGAACCTCCAGACGAGGCTGAAGACCCTCTGCCAGGACCGCCAAGCTGGTCGCAAGTCAGTCCAAGAGTTTGTGCAAGGCACTGGCTATAACATTCGTTGGAAATCTTAAACAATAATTAATATGCAATGTGACATTTTTAATTTTGTAATTTATTTATGTACGAGTTTTCACTAACATACGGTAGAATGTTTTAGTTAAATGTAATAAATGTTTTATGTTATGACGTTGATATAACTCTAAGTAAGTTTCAGTAACAAACGTTATGAAATTCTAGCGAAAACATGTCAATAAGAATTAAAGCGCCATTTTTTCCTAGTCTGATGATTATACCCTTTTTTCCGGTGCCATATTTTCCTATTGCCATTTTTTCTGTGCCTTTTTTCCTGTGCCATTTTTCCTACATTCGCTGTACCCATACCGGAGCACTCAGTATGTAAACTTTGTGATAAACCTTTAAAGCATACACTTGAACACTATATTATTGAATGTGACACTATCAAAGACTTCAGGCCACCTGGCTTATTGTATCATGAACTTTGTAATTACTACATTGAATCAGGAGAGCTTGAGGACATTCTTGTTGTTTATCCAAAATTTGCTAGCCCACACTGATTATTCTTCAATTAGAATATGACGTCCAATGTATATGAACCACTGTCCTGCATGGCAGTGAACAGTGATATCACCCACATGACTCTGACCTATATATACTGTTAATGAGTATGATCTATTCCTTTGTGTATGAACCTCTGTCCTGCGTGGCAGTGACCTGACTGAATTACTCAGAATAAGCAAAATGTACTCCAAGCTTTGTCAATAAATTTTTTAAACTTAAAAAACTAAAACATCCTCCTACCTCTCCCCTCCCTCCTCCCCCTTCATACCCTCCAAATCACAGCTTACTTCCCCCTCCCCGTTTTTCCCTCTCCCTCTCATCTCTTTCCACCTTGAATCTGAGACTTTCAGGCCACCCACACATCTCATTCCAGTCTCGCTTCTCCGCACTGATACTTCAAACTTGTGATTTGTAAAAATTGGATATCCTCTTATGTATGAACTTCTGTCCCACGTGGATGTAGACAATCTTCATGCCAAGACCTAGCTAATTACTCAGATTAGGAAGAATTGTACTCTAATCTTGTTAACAAAGGTGTCCAACTAACTCCTTTTCTCCCTTGGTGGTACTGGACCCCCCCCCCCACCAGCGGCCCCGGCTATGCTAGGCCACAGCCGCCACAGCCACCCACACTGACCCACAGATTCACAACAGGCCACAGGCCCACCCACGTCCCACGGTGACCCACGGTGGGGACTCACCCCACAGCGACGCTGCGAATCGGCTGTGCTGTCACAGCCTGCCTGCGACAGCACAGCTCAGTGTGGCAACTGCAGTTGTTGGTGGAGGTATCGTCCCGCTCCCGTCCCAGCTGACTTGATCTGTTGCGTCCTGTGGTGCTAAGATACTTTGTTAAAATAGAACCTCATTACTGATATTAGTGTAGAGTTTCCCTGGGTACGTCATGGGGTCACCGTAATATAAATGTTTATGAACTTGAAAACCCTGAGCACTTGAAGTGTTAATCAGTAACTTAATTATTTTTCTTGGCTGTTTAATCAGGCCAATGCTCTTCTTTTCTGACCTGATTGATGGTTGAAATTCGCGCCCTTCGTGTGATTTTTTTTTTAAGTGTGGCCTAACCCAGCCATTGCCATATACTTTTTCAGCATACTTTTTCAGCCTTACGGTGACAGTCGTGATACCCTGGACATTTTCGGGTTGTAAAGTTCGCCATTATTGTTTCTCACTGTTTCCAGGTAATGCTTTCCTAGTGGCTGTTACTACGGGTCAACAGCAACATGTCTCACGGAAACTTGCATTTTCAAAAGTTTATTACATTTACCGGACACTTTTATGACGTTTTACTGACTACAAATATAAACACTTAATACATTTTATTACTTTTAATCAAATTTAAATTATCTTTCAAGAAAATTAGTGGATTCCTCTTATAAAAGAACGGGAAGTCATTGTAATACGTTATAAAACAGTGTTGACCATAAGCCTCGTGTTTGTTACAACTTGCGTGTGACCATGAGAGTGAGTTACAACAATGTTCCCACGTTGTTAGCGGACTTGTGTAACTTTCTGTATCATCCATCCGCGAAATTATAAGGAGTTTCAAGGTCTGTTTCATCCTCACAAATAACTTGGTCCTTCCTTCCTCACCACTCTCTTCCACGCCAGATAAACTAATTCTTCTGTATTACTTTCCCACTCCAAAAAAAAAAAAATAAATAAATAAATAAATGTGACACAATGTCTGGATCTACTTTACCTTGATCATTGTGGGAGGAAGATAGGAGTATTGTTATGATTGTGGAAGATGATGAAAAGTATTATGTATGTATGTATGTATGTATTGTAATAACCTCCGTCAACAGATAGACAGTGGTAATTATATCAATGTGAGCTATTTACAGTACATATAAGAATTGTATAATTTACACTATCCTAATTAACTAGATAAACAGCAACTAAGCTTAGCTTATCACTTCCTTTTCACGTGCTAGATGACTTTCCCATATCCTCCACGCACCTCTGAATTGCACAGGTCGTCATTACCTAGTGCCCAGGCCTCATTGGGCTTGACCCCTGATATCACACGCGACAGACGTGTTAAAGGAGCTATGTAAATTACCTCTTATATTCTCTCGTAAAACAACAGTTGATATTATCGGTTAATCCGTTATTAATAACAATAGTGTGGTATTTTTATAAATGAATAAAGCCATATTGTGTTTGTGTGAACATTTAAATACTGTGAAACAACTACAAACAGAGATTGCAAGTAACTCCAACTGAAACTACAAAACAACTACAAGAGTTCCTGAACTGGTGGATTACCAATTAACCATAGCCAGTTCATAAGGTGCCAGCTGGGGTATACTTGTATAAATTCGTACTTTACTACACACTCAGCACTACTTCAAGTATCAGAGTAATAACTGTCAGACTCACCAGCAAGCACACGAAGGTGAATAGCAGATGGGATTACCTGACAAACCACAACTAGTTACATAGATGTTACCAGGTGGAATATCAAATACCCATGCCCGGAACATGAGGTGGTAACCAGTAGGGTATCACTGCCTGGAACAGAGTTTGTACCTTGTACGTAGTTAACACACACACACACACACACCTGGGGATATCGATCACCATGTCGCTCTTGCTCAGCCATGTTGGAGGCCAAGAAGGAGAGTGGGAGAACATTACGCTGTGTCAGTCTAATAAAACCTTCACTTTATTCACCAGTCCGATCACCATGAGGTAGTTGCTTCATAAATATATTCTAGCTTTCTTAAGTATGACAGGTGACTCAGTATTAGAGCCAGTACTGTACATAAAAGTAAAGTCAATATATGTACCAAATTATATATCTAGGTATATTCATAATAAGTCACAACGTTACATACAGTAATAAGTTATTTTATTTTTGAGACGTTTTTGTCATGCAAGCCTTGAAAACAGATATAATAAGCGTTACACTGATAAACATTTGAAGTTGTAAGCACCAATTAGAATCTAAAAAAAAAAGAAGCAATTTCAGGGATGAAAAAAAAGATCCCTCACCCAACAAGTTCTAGCTTAATATCAAGGGAAATTTGCATAGGATACTTGTATATTACTTTTTGCGTGGCAGGTAATGTGGTGTAGCAGTCCCAGCCACCCGTCTTTTAAACTGTATGTTGATTTACACATTGAATAAAGGATTAGAGAGAAATGGGGAGAGACTGATTGAAATGTGTGTCGAGAGGGGATTGATAATACCGACTGTTTGGTTCAAAAGAAGTAAATCTCTAAGAACACATGGAGACGTGACGACGGAGATGGTGTAGAGTTTTTAATTATGTGTCACCAGATACAGCGACTGATGAATAAGATGAGGGAACAACGAACATTTTATCATTATTATTATTTGGTACAGATAAGGAAAAAATATATGGCGGTTCAGGGCGAAAAACGATTCATCGAAATTTCTAAATATTAATTTTTTTTCTCGAAAATTCGGATTCATATGAACAGAAGAGCATTTATGTAGATTATTCATAATAAAAACTGGAAGTGAACAGATTCAGTGCTTAACAAAATAATTTAACCTAACATAAACTTCCGTAAATTTAAATTTAAAATTTATTACGATATCAGGGAGGAACGCTTGCGGTGGGGAACAACACCTTGTGGTGCCTGGATGAGCTCCTGAACAAATGAGCTTCATTGTTCATATTGAAGCCTTAAACAAGCTCCTGTTCCGCCTGTTAACGTCAACCGGAGTTTTTTTAACTTCAGGTTACCTCCTGCAGCTCCCGACGAGGTCACTGGCGAGCATATGTGGCTCCTGACCAAGGCCTGGAAATGTTCCGATAATCTTGGTGAAGCCGAGTGGCTCCCGGCGTGGCTCTGAAGATTTCTTTTGGATTCTGACGAGGTTTTGGTTTGATATTGTGGACCCTCAATTGTGTTTAAGTCTATTTGGTCGCAGAAGACTTTACCAGAATTTTTGTTTTCCATGTTTTTCCCTCTCTCTCCCCTGCAGTCTCCTTCCTCATTGTGTCTCATTAGTTTATTGAATTCCAAAAATTCAGATGACTTCAGCAGTCTCTGGATACATCTTGGTGATCATAAGGATAAGAGAGACACATAAACTATCTGGTGTTTACTGTATGTCTCTACTATTATAGTGCTTTTCTTCGCCAATATGGCTTGTTTATCCACTGAACTGTTTATGTGAAATACAGATTTTTAATATCCGCATGTCTCAAATATACGAGAGATATGTTTATTAAAATTAGTTTTCCTTTCTCTCGACAGTATAAAAGAATCCTTGAATAGAGACTGTGCCCGGTGACGCAGGAAACAGTGGCGGAAGCACTTAACGTGTGGCACAAAAGAGATGCCATGAATGTGTGACCGGCGAGGAGTTTCAGCAGCCATAACAACAAGTTGTAATGTTTGGTGTCTCTCCTAAGACTGAAGAAGAAATCTCCAAACGTTCGGCTATGGTAGTCGGCATCAACTTCACGACGATTCCCCTGTCACAGGTCATGGTGGGACGCCTCTGACCAGCCATGGGCTTGACAAGGTGCGGAGAACTAACGAAAATTTTATTTTACAAGATTTGTTTTATCTCTTGAAAGGTGTTGTAGCACTATTGTTCTAACATTTTTCGTGCTACAGTCTCCATCAGTAAACTCAATGTCTTTCATCAGGAGGTCATAAAAACACTTGCGGTTCTACTCGCATGTTCACTGATAACTAATAATAGAAGGTACAGTAGTCACACATCACGATGGTGCAAGAGAAGAAAAACTAGGATTGTGGTGTAGGCGAAGGGAATGAGAATCGGATAACAGTCGGAGCTGAGAGGAAGGTTCTTGACAGTCAAGTGAGAAAGATACTGCACACTCTCACCAACACTTCTCAAGCGCTATAGGCACTATGCAACCTGAAAAATGAACGAAGAATCTGAAAACATTCCGAGATGGCAAGCCCCATTCTGCTCATTCTCACATCCATCGTGCCCAGGTGTTGGGGAAGTTTTTTTGAGAGTGTACAAGCAGCTGGGTAATCATCACAAGACAAGTAAATTTGATTGTTTTTATTTTCTTCTTTCTCATCTTCGCACAACTCAAGGAAAAACCTGTTTTGGGTCCAAATCGAAAGAATTCGTTTTAAAATTTTTGAGAGAGGGAAGGAAAATTGTGCGAGATAATCTGTAAAAATTAAGAATTTAGAGAGAAATGGAGGAATAGTTTTGCATATGAGATCAGCTAGCGGGAGGGGGAGACTGTGTTTAGTTTGTCAATTGTGGACATTTATTCCTCGTCTTATTCTTTATGGTGTTCTACATCAGCTGCTGAGAAGTAACATTTTTGTAACAGTCACACAAGTCTATTTAGTGAACCTGTCAGAGAAGACAGTGGTGCTATTTTACTTTATATATATCTCCATCGCTCACTGGTGTGTTTTCGTACAAAAATATCTTTTTTTTTGTCTCTTGATTTATTAAGTAATATAATTCTAATATGAAACTGGCGGTTACTTTTTTAGTTTCCTGTGTGTTTCTGTGTATGTGTGAGTGTTTTTAAGTGTTTGCGTGTGTGTAAGTGTATAGGTGTGTGTATGTGTGTGTGTGTGTGTGTGTGTGTGTGTGTGTGTGTGTGTGCGCATGTGTGAGTGCATATGTGTGTGTAAGTGTGAGTGTGTAAGTGCATGTTTTTGTGTGTGTAAGTGTGAGTGTGTAAGTGTGTGTGTGTGTAAATAATAATAATAATAATAATAATAATAATAATAATAATAATAATAATAATAATAATAATAATAATAATAATAATAATAATAATAAACGGTTTATTAATAGAGTTGCAGCCGGTAGCTGAAAATATACAGACTTACATGGGATTTAGACATAATGATATAACATGCGTTGAATACATTTATAGGGCTGTACAGTACATAAATCAGGAGTTGTTTATTATTTTAACAATAGATAGGATGGTGCTATTCTTATAACTCTCGGTGCAGGCTCTTATGGGCTGAATTTTGTTGTAGTGGTGGACTGCGCAAGGTGGGTGGGGGGCTGCCGGTGGCAGGAGGTGGCGATGACGAGGGTGGTGCATTAGTTCACTGCCAAACCTTGCCAGTGCTTCTTGGTGGAGGTCACTGAGGGATGGTATTTCCAGGGCAGAGAGAGCGTTGATGTAGCCGGAGTATTCTGTGTCAAGCATGATTCTGCAGGCCCTTTTCTGTACCTTCTCTAGCCGACGTTGTTGGGTGGAGTTGAGAGAAGACGACCAGGCTGGTGACGCATACATTAGTTTGGGGAGAATAAAGGCGTTGCAGATAGTCCTCAGCTCTGGCATGGGTGCCCCAAGTGACCTAAGCCGTCATAGCATGTAGAGTCGGTACGAGGCTGCCTTGATTGTGCTATTTACATGGGCCTTCCAGTCCAGTTTGTTGTCTATAGTTACACCCAGGAGTTTGGCAGACTACACTAACTGGAGAGGATGGGCACCCACTGTGACTGCTGGAGCTTGCACTGGGGTGGTGGCAGTATTGATATGCATGACTACGGTCTTGGTGTGGTTGATGGTGACCTTGTTCTCCGTAGTCCATGCTTGTAGCCTGTCCAGGGTGCCTTGTAGCGATGAGTAGTCTGGTGCGGTGTTGTCCACTGTAACCCCCACAGTGCAGTCATCCACGTACTTCCACCTGTGAGGAGTGTCCGATAGAGCATCGTTGATCAGGATGAGGAAGCACAGTGGTCCCATCTTGGTCCCCTGGAGAACACCACAGGTGAGGTGTTGGAATGTGGAGACCGAGCCCTGATACCTCACTGCCTGATGACGTCCACTCAAGAAATCCGTGAGCCATGAGACCAGGTTGGTGGGCAGCCCTAGTGCAATGGCCTTGTTGATAACAGTGCAGTGGTGTGTGTGTGTGTGTGTGTGTGGCTAGTTGATACAAGGAACTGTAATCCGTGTGAAGACTAAAGGTTCACTTTGTGTCCTCTACATGAACTGTATGTTGAGGATGTGAGCCAATAGATGTGTTTTGTGGGATGATGTTGCTTACTGTTTCAGCGTGTTCACGTCGCTTTCTACCTACCTTTCTACCACCACTTCCTCGTCTCCCTTGACTGACCTCACACAAATATGGAGACAAAGGTAAGGAAAAGGACTCATTGAGAGACGAAAACATTGAACCTGTCTGATAATTTAGTCTTGCTGCAAATTAATTAAGGTTATTTGGATGATAAAATTTTCACAGGAAAAACCTTACCTGGTGATACTTGCCAGGTGGCAGGAAGTCACCAGGCGGCGGAGAACTACCAAGAGTCATCAGGTTTTCTGTGTTTGTAGACTGTGTATGTTAAGCCTGTGTTCCTTACTAGTAAAGTGTGTATGTTGAAGGTGTGTTGCTTACTTTTAGAGTATCGCCGGTGGTGCGAGTCGGTGGACGTGGGTGGCTCATCCTAGACGCCCGCCTCGCCGCCCTCACAGCTGCCCTCTACACCATTGTGAGTATATACCACCTAAGATATATTATACACGCTCCCTCTATCAAAATAAAATATGAACGGTAAGGATAGTCAACAGGTGTCGGGGAGTCACTAAGAGTCAGGGAGTCACCATGTGTTAAGGAGTCAATGGGAATTAGAATTAGATAGTCACCAGGTGTCAAGACAATGTTTATATCTCCCTTGAGATCACTTAAGGAGGGATTGGTCGATTCCCTTCTTAATCTTCCATTTTTTTCTCGACAATTATCAGGTTCTTTACCATTGAAAGTCAGCCATTATTGTATATAAAATCCGGCTACGTTGGTTTAACTTGGAACTCACAGAAAAGATTATTGGTTTAACTCAAAACAAACACACACACACACAGCCTGACTTTTTGTGTAAATTTGTCGTAAAAAGTGAACTAAAACAAACCGCGTCAGTCATTATTGTAACACCACGAGAAGCCTACAGGTAAAAGTAAAGATACAATTACAGTAAAAAATTTCCAAATGGAAACTGTTCATAGAGTATTATATAACTCACGTACAATGTGAGTTATAATTATGAAGTCACGTCATCTAGTTCATAGAGAAACAGTTATTCGTACAATTTACTCCCATCAATACCACACACTACAGTAATTGATCGACCGCCAGAGTTACCCGAGATGGTGAGTGACCCGAGTTAACTCCTCAGTACAAATTGTATTTAATGTTTAAGGACGGAGGTTGAGCAAAGGATATATCATTAACTGTAAATGTTTAGGAACAATTTTGATTTCATTCCTGCACATAACTTCATCATCATTACACCAATTGCCATCACCATTGCACCAACTTTTACCATTAATGTACCATCTCTCATTGCACTAAACATACAACCATGCTTCCCTTCACTGATTACAGACACACCACCTGCTTTATATTTCTCAGTAGGACCATACTAACCACTGTAACCCCCACTGACACGACACCCACCACTACCACCACTGACGCTACACCCTCCACTCTACCAACACTGACACTACACCCAACCACTCTACCACCACTGACACTACACCCACCACTACCACCACTGACACTACACCCACCACTACCACCACTACACCCACCACTCTACCACAGACCTACACCCACCCACTCTACCACCACTGACACTACCCTCACTCTACCACTACACCCTCCACTCTACCACCACTACTTCACCCTCTACCAACCTCACCCTCACTCTACCCACTACCTCCACTCTACCCACCACTTTCCCCTACCACCACTGACTACACCTCCTCTACCCACTACACCTACACTCTACCACCACTGCACTACACCCTCCATTCCACCACTGACACTAAACCCCCACTCTACCACCACTGCCTCACCCAACACTCTACCACCACCTCCTCTACCACCACTGACCTCACCCTCCTCTACCCACCACACCTATCTACACCACTCTCACCCACCACTACCACCCTGACACTACACCCACCTCTACCCACCTCTGACCTACACACCCACCACTCTCCTACCACCACTGACACTACACCCACCACTCTACCACCACTGACACCACACCCTCCTCTACCACTACACCTCCACTCTACCACTGACTACACCCACTCTACACTGACCTACACCCCTCCACTCCCACCACTACACCTCCCTCTACCACCACCACCTACACCACCACACCACCACACTGCCTCACCCTCACTCTACCCTACACCCACACTCTACCACCACTGACACTACACCACTCCCACCACTACCACCACCACAACCACCACTACCCCACCTACTACCACTACACCCTCACTCTACCCACCACACTCTACCCACCACTCACACTCACCCACCACCACCCCTCTACCACTAGCTTCACCCACCACTACCACCACTGACACCACCACCTCTACCCCTACACCTCCCACTCCACCTCTCACACTCACCCCACCACTATTTTCACACCCACCCACCTACCACCACTACACTCACCCACCCTCTACCACCACTACTCACCCTCACTCTACCCTACACCCCACCCTATATCACCATTGACACTACACCCACCCCCTACCACCACCAACCTCAACTCTACCACACTGACACTACCCTCCTCTACCACTACACCCACCCCTCTCATCACCATTGACACTACACCCTCTACCACCACTGACACCACCCACCACTCTACCCACCACTGCCACTACACCCCTCTATCACCACTACTTCACCCACCCCTCTACCACCGACACTACACCCCCTACCACCACACACCCTTACAACCTCAACTCTACCACTGACACTACACCTCACTCTACCACTACACCCACCCCTCTATCACCACTGACACTACACCCACCCCTCTACCACCACTTTCACCCACCACTCTACCACCACCCCACCCCCTCTATCACCACTGACACTACACCCACCTCTACCACCGACACTACACCACCCCCCTACCACCACTGACACCACACCCTCAACTCTACCCACTGACACTACCCTCACTCTACCTACACCCCTCTATCACCATTACACCCACCCTCTACCACCACTGACACCACCCACCCTCTACCACCTGCTACTACACCCCCACCCCTCCTATCACCACTGACACTACCCCACCCCCTCTACCACCTGACCTTCACACCACTCTACACCTACTGACACTACACCGTCCTCTACCACTACACCCCTCACTCCACTACTCACCAACCATCTACCACCTACGACACTACCCCCTCTACCACCACACACCACCCCACCCTCTACCACTGACACCACCCTCCTACCACCGACACTACACACCACCACTCTACCACCACTGAACACCCCACCCCCTCTAAACAACCCCAACACCACCTCTCTACCACCACTGACACCACCCCCCACTCTCACCACCACTGACACTACCCTCCACTCTACCACCACTGACACCACACCCACCACTCTACCACCACCCACCCACACCCACCACAGCACAACACCCACCCTCTACCACCACTGACACTACACCATCCCACTCTCACCTGCAACTGCCCACCACCTCTACCACCACTCACCTACACCCCTCTACCCACTGCCTACACACCTCTATCAACCTCACCCCTCTACCACCACCCTCTACCCTACTGACACTACACCGTCACTCTACCCACTACCCTCACTCTACCACCACCCCCTACCACCCATCTACCACCACCGACACTACACCTACTCTACCCCAACCCCACCCTCTACCACTGACACACCCACCTCTACCACCTACACTACACCCCACTCTACCACCACTGTTTAACACACCCACCCCTCTCCTAAAACTGACACAACACCCACCTCTCTACCACCCTGACACTACACCCCCACTCTACCACCACTGACACACAACCTCCACTCTACCACCACCCTGACACAACACCCACCACTCTACCACACACCTCCACCACTGACACACACATCCACCACTCTACAACCCACTACACCCATCCCTCTACCACCACTGACCCTACCCTCCACCACCACTCTGCTACACACCATTCTACCACTCTACCAATACACCCACCACTGACCACCATTGAACCACACCCACCACACTACCACCACTGACACACACCCCACTCTACCACCACTGACACCACACCCACCACCTACCACCACTGACACCACACCCACCACTCCACCACCACTGACACTACACCTCCATCTCTACCACCACTGACACAACACCCACCACTCCACCACCACTGACACTACACCTCCACTCTACCACCACCTGACACCACACCCAACCACTCCACCACCACTGACACTACACCCACCACCTACCACCTCTGACACTCACACCCTCCACTCTACCACCACTGACACTACACCCACCACTCTACCACCACTGAGACCACATCAAACACTCTACCACCACTGACACTACACCCACCACCATACCACCACTGACACTACACCCACCACTCTACCACCACTGACACCACCACCACTCTACCACCACACGACACTCACACCCACCACCTCATACCACCACTGACACCACACCCACCACCTGACCACCACTGAAACCACACCCACCACACCACCACCACTGACACCACACCCAACACTCTACCACCACTGACACCACACCCACCACTCTAACCACCACTGGCACTACACCCACCACCACCCACTGACACTACACCCACCACTTACCACCACCGACACTACACCCACCACTCTACCACACCACTGACACTACACCCCCCACTCTCACCACACCACTGACACTACACCTCCACTCTACCACCACTGACACTACACCCAACTCTAAGACCACTGACACTACACCACCCCACCACCACTGACACTACACCTCCACTCCACCACCACTGACACTACACCCACCACTCTACTCCACTGACACTACACCCACCACTCTACCACCACTGACACTACACCCATCATCCCACCACCGACACTACACCTCCACTCTACCACCACTGACACCACACCCACCACTCTACCACCACTAACTCCCCACACCCAAACTCTACCACCACTGGCACTACACCCAACACTCTACCACCACTGACACTACACCCATCCCCCACCACCACTGACACTGCACCCACCACTCTACCACCACTGACACTACACCCAACACTCTCACACCACTGACACTTCACCCACCACTCTACCACCACTGACACTACTCCTCCACTCTACCACCACCTGACACTACACCCACCCCCACCACCACTGACACTACACCCAACACTCCCACCACCACTGACACACTAACACCCACCACCATCACTGTTTTACACCCACTCTACCACCACCGACACAGCACGCACCACTCCCCACCACCACTGAAACCAACCACACCACCCCACCACCACCGACACCACACCCACCACCTACCACCACTGACACAACACCCACCACTCTACCACCACACTGACACTACACCCAACACCCCACCACCACTGACACACACCCACCACTCCACCACCACTGTTTTACACCCACCACTCTACCACCACCTGACACTACACCCTCCACTCTACCACCACTGACACTACACCCACCACTTACCTCCACTGACACTACACCCAAACTCTACCACCACTGACACTACACCCACCACTCTACCACCACTGACACTACACCCACCACTCTACCACCACTGACACTACACCCACGACTCTACCACCACTGACACCAACCACACACCACTCTACCACCACTGCTTTTAAACCCACCACTCTACCACCACTGACACTACACCCACCACTCTACCACCGCTGACACCACACCCACGACTCTACCACACCACTGACACTACACCCACCACTCTACCACACTGCTGACACTACACCCACCACTCTACCACCACTGTTTTACACCCACCACTCTACCACCACTGACACTACACCCACCTGTAATGTGACATAAGAGTGTAAGCTTTGGTCTGATAATCAATCATTAACACACCCCTCTATCACCACTGACACTACCCACCCCTCTACCACTGACACTACACCCCCACCTCTACCACCACTGCTACACCCATCCCTCTACCACCACTGACACACTCTACCCACCATTGACACTACACCCATCCCTCTACCACCACTCACACTACACCCACCACTCTACCTGACTCTACACCCCACCACTCTACCACCACTGCACTACCTCCACTCTACCACCACTATATCACCCATCCCTCTACCACCACTACACCCCAACTCTACCACCACTGCCACTACCCACCACTCTACCACCCACTGACCCCACTCACTCTACCACCACACACCCACCTTTCTACCCCCCTGACCCTCACTCTACCACTGACTCACACACTGTTTCACCCACCACTCTACCACCACGACTTTCACCCTCCACTCTACCACTACACCCTCAATCTCACCACTGACACTACACCCACCACTCTACCACTAATTTCACCCACACTCTATTTCACCCTCCACTCTGCCTCCAATCTACCACCACTCTACCACCACTCTGCCACCTCCACTCTACAGCTGCCACACCCACCTCTACTACCACTCCTTCACTCCTGCCTGACACTACACCTCTACAAGCCAACATTACACCCCCACTACCTTTTCACCACCACTCTACCACCACTGTTTCACCCTCCACTCTACCACTGACACTACACCCACTCTACCACCACTGACCTCACCTCCACTCTACCCTCTGGCCCCTTCCACCACTGACACCCTCCCTCTACCACCTGACCCCTTTCACACCACTCACCACTAACACTACACCCCTCCACACACCACTACTTCACCTCCACTCTACCACTGACTCACACACTGACACTACACCCTCCACTCTACCACACACTTACCACTCACCACCTCTCTTCCTTCACCCCTCCCACTCCTGACACTACACCTCACTCTACCATGACATTACACCCACTCTACCACTACTGACACTACACCCACCACTCTATCACCAACACTACACCCACCCCTTACCTCCACTGACCTCTACCACTGACACTACCCACTCTACCACCCAGCTCTGCCATCCACTCTGCCACCACTCTGCAATGCACCTGCTCTACTCTGCTACACCCATCACCATACCACTCACCACCACTCCTGCTCACCCACCCACTCTACCACCCTGCTACTCCCACTACTCTACTACCAGTCTGCCACTCACCCACCACTCTACCACCATCTCTGCTACACCCACCACTCTACCACCATGACCACTACACCCACCCCTACCCTCCACTTTATTTACACCCACCTCTACCACTGACCTTACACCCCACCTTCCTCCACTGACACTACACCCT